GAGAATGGCTGACTGAAGGATGGTTGAAACTTGCTGCATGCACTGCCTTCTGTGACTATCTTCTTACATGACTTGATTTAGCTCACAAAATGGATCCTAAGAATTGTGTAAATTGCTATAAAATAGAAAAGTCATCTGTCCTAGGGAAGTACATCATGGTTTTAGTGTTCTGACTCTAAAGCAGAATTTGTGATAAAAGTCTCTGAAGCAAGGACTGGAACAGACTGCATGGGAATTGGTTGAGTCACCATCCCTGGAAGTATTTAGATATGCAGATTTGACACTTAGGGACATGGTTTAGTGGAAGACTTGGCAGAATTAGGATGGTTGGACTTGACAAACTCAAAGGTTTTCTCCAACCTAAACAATTCTATGAATCCATGGATTTGCTGAAGTACAGAAGTATCGAAAGTGTAATTACCAATCCCAATCTGAAACACAAGATACATATTTGCTGGGAAAAAACTACTTCTAACAGCCTTTACATATTGATCCTCACAGAGGAGCAAGAATTAACTTACATAATTTAGGCTTATGTTGTTTACTGATTCAATTAGTAAACCAGCCAGGCCTTTCATAGAATTATCAGCTACATGGACATAACAGTCTGCAGACCCCAAATTGTTACATTAACAATAACATAACTAAAACCCAATTCAGTGATGTGTTTTTTATTCAGAGTTTCCCCTCTCCAACAATGAGAGAAGAACAACGGCATGGCAATTTTAGCCAGGGGAAAAAACCCTCCCTGGTTCTTTTGTGGAGAAAGAATATTGCTCGTCATTTCTTTATATAACATTTCGCTACTACAGCGTCACATGCACTAAAAATGTAAATGTAATATTTTAATTTAAATATTGAATCAAGATACAATCTTACAGTTCTTGTTTCTCTACATGAAAGCAAAACTCTACAACACTTGCACCACTTGGTATTTTCTATCTGAAATCTCAGAAATAAGTGTGGCACTTGTTATTCAGCACAAAATTAACTATTCTACTGTTTTCCTTTATGGATGCTTTCACCTTGCTCTTCTCCTGAATAGGCAAGAATTTCAGTTTAATAAAGAACATGCAGTTTGCAATGATTTGCATTGCTGTTCTGTTACAAGAGAAAATATTTTTTTTTGGCTGAGAAAACTTCTGTTCCCAATATCCATCTAAGTAATCTCTCATATTCTTGCAATTCCAGGGAGTTCCAAATCAAATCCCATTTTATCAGCATGCTGTTCAAAGCTACTTGGAACATATCTTAATCAGTTTTATTCATTTTGTTTAATTATGTGGAAAATTTAGTGTGACCTACATTTGTAAAAGCAAGGCTTTAACTAAGTGCAAACTCTTTTCCTAATCTCTTGCTGCTAATACATGCTATTAGTAATGTGGAATTACCTTAATTTGGACTGGAACAACCTCGCCTTCAGTTCTCCTTTCACATAGAACCATTATAAAATAACTTTTTTTCAAGAATGCAAATTGCATTTCATGTTTCTACTCACTGATTTATAATCTGAAAATATTTTAAAAAACCCCAAAACAAAAACTCCACTGCATAAGATCTAAAAAAAACAAAAAAAAAAAAACAAAAAAAAAAAACTTTGGAAAACTAATCCAGACTAAACCCAATGCAGAAAACACACAACACACAATTTAACTACAACAAAACCCCCAGACCCACGAGGACCGTATTACTCCACATATTTTTCTGATAGAATTCACCTCTGGCAGTGGAAGTGAGGCTGAGGCAGAGGAGAGATGGAAGTAGGAGTTTAGACTCTTTTTAGCAGTCTCAATCTAAATCATCTGTAAAACAACTTGAGTGAAAATCAGCTGCATGTAATTTATGACAAACTATGCTAAGATATGAGAGACTGGGAAAATTTCATTTAAACAGGAGTAGAGTTTATGACAACAAAATGTTAGTATTTGGCTTAAGTGATTAAAATATATCATCAATGTCTATTTGTTTTCCTGGACACCTATGAGTGTGAAGTTATTTTAAAACCCGATTTTAAAAGAATGATAAACGCTGTGTAAATGAGCACACTGCACAGAGCACTGACCTCTTTATATAGCATATGAGCTCCTCAGCATGTCATGGGGCTTTCTAGGGTTTCAGAGCCCCTCAGTGGTAAATAAGTCTTAAGTGCAAGCTAGCTGGTCTCATGACTGGGTGGGTTCAGACAGAACAAAGCCAAAAACAATGCCCCCATTAAGCTTGTTTGAAGTACAGGGCAGAGTTTAATTTTCTCTGAAAGGCATTCAGAGGGTATGCTTCAAAACCCCTCTGAGAACTTAATCAACCTTAGGCAGCTCTTGATTTGGCTGAAAACTGCATTAGTGCTCCAAGCCAAGCTAAGGCAGACACCCTGCTAATGCTACAGTGTGAAGAGAACACATGCTTGTAAAACAAAACATTCAAGTCATAAAGTTTTTCACCAAGGAATGTTTGGATCCCAGTGCACCGTGTCCATACCTCATCCAGAGGGTTTGTATCAGTGTCACTGGGAAAGACTTTTACTCTATTTATATTTCTGAAAAGGCTACTTGATGATGCAAATTTTCCACAGTGACCTAAGGCCAAGTAATTTTATTTGTGAGATAATTGGACAGAGCTGACACTCTAGAATACTTGGCCCCTCCAAATTCATCCTACACCTGCAGGACGAGGCAGAAGAAATCAGAAACTTCGTGTTCAAAGGTGAAGTGAAAGGAATGCAGTTCTTGTGCTTTGCAAAAACATCTGATGTTAAACTTCCCTCTCTCTTGGCGAGGCCCTTGAGAACAAAAATGCCTTTTCTCTATCTTAAATGAGAGCTCCACATAGACTGCAAATTCTGATTAAGCTTCTATCCTTCTATAAATAAACCTACGCTAAGGACTGAAAAAAAAAAGCAGCTGCTGCTTGAAGTACTTGTGTTCATTTCTTAATTCACATTTTTCTGTCCTATGTATGTACAAATGGGGAAACATTGATTAGAAAATTTTCTTTAGACTATACCCAAATAACTTAATTACCCAGTAAGTCCTTCTGGCTTTAAAATTAGTGGTCAAATTGTGCCAAAGCCTTTACAAGGTCAATAAAACCTTTGCACCATCCCTGCAGAAAGATTCTGCTTTAGTGCAGAGAAAGAATAAATCAAGAGACAGTGACAATGCAGAGGAAATGTTTAAATGGCACTGACATCAGCACTTGACAATCTGATATAAAACTATGGTTTGATTAATTTATCAAGGGCCAAGTTGAGAGGAGATGATTAGGATAAGGTTTCAGATAAAAAAAACTCCAACAAAACACATTGCCCTGAGATAATTTTAGGCTGAGACTGACAGCATGTTACCTACACCACATTTAAGGAATACATTTATTTTCTTACTCTCTGACCTACTTGATTTGCAATGTATGCATTGTTTCTGCAGCACAGCAAAAAGAAAATCAGATGATCAGTTACTGTGGAATAATATAAATTATTAGCTAAAAAATAAGTAGTTAGTCAAGGAGAGAGAGCATGATAATCCATTTGAATTTGTTTTTTTTTTTTAAAAACCAACACTATGAGATGCAATTTTACCCATGTCTGTATACACTATACAGCTGATGGAACTGGCTACTCTATAATGGTAGTGGGTGCATTTAGGCCAGGTAGATAACAGATCAAAGGGCACATGAGGCCCTTTGATATATATATACCTATATATTATAGGTATATATATACCTATATATTATGGTTCTTGTTTTTGGTTTGTTGTTTTTGCATTAGCAGTGGTTTTGGCATAAAAGTACTCTCTGCTCACACACACACACCCCCCCACAAAATGGGACAATGCAGTCATCAATCACAGCCAGCTCAGGCACATGAGGAAAAAGTCCTGCTTGGCAAATTTAATTTCTTTTTTATGACAAGATAACCCACCTAGCTGATCAAGGGAAGCCAGCTGATGTAATTTTTTTGAATTTCAGTAAAGCTTTCAAAACTGTCTCTGACAGTGTTCTCTGGCTGAGGAGGAGATGGTGCTGCTCTGCTTTGAGCTGGTGTGGCCTCACCTTGAGTCCCATGTGCGTTCCTGGGTGCCACCATACAAGAAAGACAATAAATGATTAGAGAGCATCCAAGGAGGGCCACAGGGATGGGGAAGGGTCCTGAGGGGAAGCCTGATGAGGAGCAGCAGAGGTCACTTGATGTGGTCAGCCTGGAGAGGAGGAGACTGAGGGGAGACCCCATTGCAGTCTGCAGCTGCCTTGTGAGGGGAAGAGGAGGGGCAGGCACTGATCTGTTCTCTGTGGTGAGCAGTGACAGACCCGAGGGAATGGCCTGAAGCTGTGTCAGAGGAGGTTCAGGTTGGACATTAGTAAATGGTTCTTCACCCCGAGGGTGGCTGGGCACTGGCACAGGCTCCCCAGGGAAGTGATGACAGCACCAGCCTGACAGAGCTCAAGGAGCATTTGGAGAATGCTCTCAGGCACAAGGTGTGACTCTTGGTCCTGTTGAAACACAGGCCTCAATTGACACAAGTGACATAAGCACTTTAGCACAGGCATGAATTAGCAAAAGATTTAATTGTAGCTGCTGTGTCTGTAACCACTTTTGCAAGCAGAGGCCTAGCCCTAGCAGGCTAAGGTGGTAAGAAAGGAGAGGCATGCTGGCTGTCACAAAGGCCTGGAAAAATGCAAAGTCATAGGAGTTGTTTTCACAGACAGAAGAATGTAACCAATAAAGCACAGTTATAGAAAAGCATAACAGCAGTAAGGTGAATGTGATGAGTATGTTAGATAGGAACTATGTACTGTGTTTGTAGCCCTAGGATGAAGAAACCACATGTTATGTGAGACCCCAACCCTTAAAACTGCGGCTTTTAGATAAACAAACAAACAAGGGTAGGTGCCAGAAGTGTGAAGTATAAAAGCCTGTGCAAAATGAATCCCAGTCAGACGTGCACATGGAGTGCTAACCCCTGCATGATCTCTTGGCTTCAATAATGGTATGCTTTACTTTGCAGTACCTGCTGTGGAGTAGATTCCTTTGAATGACTGTGCAGGGCCAGGAGCTGGACCTGATGGTCCTTGTAGGACCCTTCCAACTCAGGATATTCAGGACTCAGGAGTCTATGAACTTTGGAATACCTGACAGAGATCAAAAATTTGAGTTAAAACCTGTTCAAAGCATGTACTCAGCCTCTTTTCTCTCCCTTGAGTGAGGGATATTCTCCCTGATCTCTCTCATTATAATGCTATCACTGGATTGTTGGCCCTTTTCTCCTATTCCCTAGAGAATGAAACTTCTTAAAAACTTTAGCAGTGTTTGGCTGAACTAGTTTTGAATGGCAAAATTTTCAAAATTCAAAACCAGAATTTGTATTTGTATTTACTGTATTGCATTTAATCTGTGTGTTCAGGATTGATTAGCTGGTAATGAAAACTTTTATAATTGGAATACTGTGTTGTTGCAGAATCTAATAAAGAAGTTATGCAAAGTCTAACTGCCGACAATTTTCCCTGTTTTAATTTTTACAGTTTTATATTGGTGAAAATCCTTAAGGTCCTAACAGCCTCGAAAGGATTTCACACAAGCACTCAAGCTTGTAGTTCATGATCAAACCACAAACTCAACACCGCCGTCAGTAATGGATTGTATTTTTAGCACATGGAAGGAGCCAAAATTAAATTTCCATCATCCAGCAACAGACCATCATTAATCTGTAGCCTTTAAGGCCACAAGCGTGCAGGTCCTGCTGCCGGCCGTGCCCGCAGCAGCCGCAGCCCCGGGACACGGCCGGGGCTCCCCGGGCTGGGCCGTGCCGCTCCGCCGCCTTCTGCCGTTCAGAGGAAAAGGCGAATTTCGCTCATAAGACAGAGCACGCCTAAAGCAGAAATGGCAGAAAGTCTGGCCGTGCTTTTCGCCCATTTATCTTCGCGTTCCTCGCCTCCCGCTGCTGTTTAAAGTTTAAAAGGCTGTGAGTAGCCGCAGCTAAAGCACACCGAAGCCCGGAGCCTCGCCCCAGCAGCAGAGCTACGCTGCCCCAAGAGGCCTCCGCAACGGGAGCACCCGGGAGTCACCCGAGCTGCGGAGCGCCCTCGGGAGCCGGGACAGCCCCGGCTCCGAGCGGCTCCCGCCGCCGCTTCCCGCCCGGACAGCCCCGGCACGAACCGGGGCACGGCCGCCTCTGTGGACGCCCATTAACCGCCTTCCCGCCACGGAGGCTCGTGGGAGCTGTAGTCCCAATCTGCCGCGTTCCCCGGCCAGCTGCGAGGCGGCTCTGCGGCGCTCGAACTACAGCTCCCAGCATGCGGGGCGGCGGGGCGGCGCGCGCCTGTGGCGCCGGGAGGCTGTGCGATGGCGGCAGGTTTGTAATAGAAGGAGAAGGCTGCGGCAGTCGGAGCTGGGCGCGGTGGCGGCGGCGGCCCTGAGGAGCGGGGCCGGGCAGCTGCCTCGCTATATGCGAGGGGCCGCGGGTCGGAGCTGTCGTGAAGCGGGTACTTGGGGGCCGGGGGTGCGCTCGGGGCGCGCTCCGTGAGGGCGGTGTCGTGAGGGAAGGAGGCGCTGGGCCCGGCGCCTCGGCTCGGCGGGGGAGCGGGGCTGTGCTCATCTCCCCACTGTGGACCCATGTGGGGATCCCTTTGTCCCTCCTCCCCTTCGCGGGACGAATGAGCCCGGTCCCTGCCGGCTGCTCCGCTTGGCACGAAGGTGCTGCTGCCGTGAATTTCACGGGGAGGTTTAGACTGGCAGGCGGCGTCCCGAGGGTCTCCCCAGGGGGACGGGGAAAACAGACCGTGAGCATTGCAGGCTTCAATTTGCCCCTGCGGGAATCTGCACCTCGCTGGGAAACAGAAGGCAGTCGTTTCTACAGGAAACATTTGTTTGGTTTTCCCAGTCGCGGTTTCAAACTCTCGTTGGAAACATAAGTATTTTGACTGCAGGAAAATGAAGTGAGAGCTGGCATGGGCTGATCTCTTGGGAATGAGGAAGCTTTAAGAAGTTATTTCCTGATTTGCAGGGCTCTTGAACCTGAGCTGCTGTGGTTGTCTGTCCTTGGTGCCCTGGCCCCTTTTCTCCTCTGTATTCCCCCTGACACACCCCATGAACAGGCAGAGAATCGTTTGCCCTGGGATTACTTTGGGGAAGCAGGGCTGAGAGCCTGGCTCCTGTTGCCACACTGTCACCAGCAGCAGTTTTGTCTTTTTCTTCCTAAGTGAGGAAATCACTTTGGGTCTCCTTCCTGGATGAATTTATTCATGTTTTATGGCACTTGTAGGATTTGTTGCTGTATTTAAAATTTCTTCTGGATGGATTTTAAAGAAGCTTTTTGGGACAAGGAAGATAACAGGCAGCATAGTTGCAGTGTTTCCTTGAGAAACTAAAGATGTGAAAATGATAAATGTTGCATTGAAGTATGTGCAGTAAAGTGTTTGTATTTAGATGGACACATCTGAAACTTTGCATTAAGATGAAGTTCATGTGGCGGAGATCTCTCAGCTCATCAGATCACTTATTTTGTTTTAGGTGTTTAAAAAAATTCTGAATCCCTCTCAGTACTACTGAAGAAAATATTATGTACATCTTTATGGCATTTGAGATTTTAGTGGCTGCACTCAAATAATACAATTAAGTGTTGGATTATGTTGATTTTCTGCACCAAAAGTGTTTGTTACTTATTATCCAAATTGTTTCTATTGACTATGACTTATTTTTATAAATACACTAGGTTGGTTGTAAGAGAGTAATTTTCTTTTACTGAAAATGTTATTGTAAATTTCTTATTATGTTTATCTGCTTAATTTCTAGGTGCTGGAAGTGGATAGATAGCTGTCCATACCAGCTACCTGGAGCTTTGAAAGTTATATTGTCTTAAATCTACAGAATGTAATATTATTGTTAGTGCTGATCAGCAAAGAAATTGGAATACAGCTTGCAAGATGCCAACTGTTGAAAATCTGAGTGGTGAGCAGAACTTCAGTGCACACTGGATGTTCAATAGTGCCCGTGCTGGAGTCTTATTAGGTCCTGGTTTTACTGGTTTGAACTTCAAGAAAGAAAATTTGTTACCTGGACCTGAAAACATCACAGCTTTGTCTGAAGAAGTGCAGCATCTGTCAGACAGCTGTTCTGTAAGTGATGACTCCCTGTGTGAAGAGTCTGCCAGCTCTCAGACACTTCAGCAATGTGCCACTGCAACACCTTTTCCAGCAGCAGCTGGAAACATGGAGAGCTCTAAACCAGACTTAGTCCATGGTGAAGTGGATGGTCAGAAGAAATCCAGTCACAGTGATCCACTCTTACAAAAGCTTGAACAGGTAATAAATATACCTAGAATTCCTTGACATACTTGCAGTAAGATTTATTCTGTTCCTGCATATGATTTGTCATGCCTGCAAGTAGCAAACCCCTTGCAACAAATGTACAGGCCACGGCAAGCTTAAAGAGCAAATCCTAAATTCCAGTTATGCTCACATGGAAGTTGGTGTCCTCCTCATGATGTGCATTTACTGAGTGTAACTACTGTTGTTTCCAGGTGGCACAAGTTCCAGTTTAAAATGAAATCGTTCTTAAAATCATTTTACCTGGAAAGGTGCACACAGTTCTACAGTGTTTCTTCACTCGAGGCTGTGGAAATGGGGTGCTGGTCATTGCAGTGGTAGTGCTTGGCCACAGGTATTCACAGCACAGTGCAGCTGAATGTTCTTGTAGCTATAGCAACTTCTTTTGTTAGTTCTCAAAGTAGGTGTGACAAACCTGGCTCTGTGAGAGAGATTTCCTCTGATGAGGAGATATGTTAGTGTTGATTGTGATAAAGTATCCAAGACATCAGGGTAAAAAAAGTCTTGGAATTGTAATGCTGTTATGTTATTTACTTTTTTTCTAATGCAAGTGTGTCAGTCAATCCACTGTAAGTGGCTGTTCACTTAAAGCTCTTCCCAAAGCTCTTCCATTTGTACTGGATACAAATTGGGTTGACTGGAAGTCTTCAGCAGGACTTTAATAGATCTTGCAGTTAAGGACTAAGAAGTCCTTGTCCACTCAGCCAGCAGCTACATCAGCATAAATCCCTATGTCTGTTCACTGGATTGCAGAGAGGGAGATGGTGTGTGTGTCTCCAGAGTAGAATTCCAGAAATTACCAGGTGCTATAAAAGTTTTCTCCTGTATTTTACATGATAGGAGAATATTTTCTCCTATCATGTAAAATTTTTAAAATATTGCCCAATATTTTAAAATATTATTAGTAGTACCAATCAGTGGCTAAATAAATATAGGCTGATTTATTGGTATCTTAACAGGAATTATTAAGTGTCCTTAGAAAGTTATTGACAATCTACAGCAGAATAATTCTTTGGTACATTCTAAATAAACCTAGCCTCTAATACATTTATTTATTTGTTTGAAAAGCTGAAAGAATTGCAACAGCAGAAACAGGAACAGTTAAAGAAACAACAGATGGAACAACTTCAAAGGTTAATGGAAGAGCAGCAGAAGCTACTTAGCATGGTATCTGGCCAGCCAGCAGCTCTTGGTAAGTTGAGAAAGAAAGCACATGATGTACTTTGTATAAGCTGAAAAATCTAGTCTCATTTTCCAGTTAAAATCTGAAATTGTCTTCTGGGTTCTTCATTTTAAGATTACTTGATTAGTCAGAGATAAATGCTGCATTGCTTCAGTGCCTGAAAGTTGAGTGCTACTGAAGAAGGAATATTGTCCTATTTTTATAAAATGTCAGCTGTAATTGTGGCTTGATCGATATGTGCTATGATGGGAGCTCTTGCTTCAAAGTACATGTCTTGAAGTGTGAAACAAGTACTTTCCTTTCTGATTAGCTGCTTCTCACAGAGCTTTTGATTGCTTAAGCTTTCAGTGTAGCCAGATTAAATGGTCCCTCCTTGTTTGTGCTCACACACATCACATTCAGGTGATGAGGTGAACCAGGATAGAGAGCTGATCTGTATTTAAAAACAGAGAGTTGTAACCTGTATCAGTTTTCCAGTCTTGTTTGCTGGGTGCAAGGAGAGGGGGCAGCTCTTGGCTTCTGGAGCTAAGAAGGGGTACTTTCTGCTCTTGGCAGTGTCAGTCCAACCTGACTTAAATGATTGTCTTCCACTCTGCGTACCTGAGAAGATTAAATTAGGGCTTATTTT